GAGGGATATGGTCGAATGCCTTCTCCAAGTCCACAAAACACATGTAGACTGGTTGGGCAAACTCCCATGCACCCTCAAGTATCCTTGAGAGGATAAAGAGCTGGTCCAGTGTTCCGAGACCAGGACGAAAACCGCATTGTTCCTCCTGTATCCGAGGTTCGACTAGCGGACGAACTCTCTTTTCCAGCACCCTGGCATAGACTTTCCCAGGGAGGCTGAGGAGCGTGATCCCCCTGTAGTTGGAACACACCCTCCGGTCCCCCTTCTTAAAGATGGGGACCACCACCCCAGTCTGCCAGTCCAGGGGTACTGCCCCTGATCTCCACGCAACATTGTAGAGGCGTGTCAACCAGGACAGCCCTACAACGTCCAGAGCCTTCAGTAACTCGGGGCGGACCTCATCAACACCAGGGGCTCTGCCACCAAGAAGTTGTTTAACTGCCTCAGTGACCTCGCCTCTGGAACTAATTATTTATTTTGTTTATGCCAGTGGTTTGCACTCCATTTAAATTCAACAAAGCAAAACAGCACTTGCTGCTCATGCCAGCTCAAACTATTGTGGAAAAAGTTTGAGCTGGCATGAGCATTTGCATGCTCATCTCAAATAATATCGATGATAAAGTCTCAACAAAATGTCTCAACAGAGCCTAAAAAGTAAAGGAAAAATAAAGTTAAAGTTAATTATTGTTCCATAAAATTATGCTAATAAAAATTAGATGATTTACATCTGTGTGCCTGTCTGCTAACAGCCGACATATCAGTACAGCCAAATAATTCATGGAGTGACTTCATGAGATTCCCGGCATTCTTTCAGCCACCTACAACTTGAACAGCAGCCCAATCAGGCAAAGAGAAAAACATTTGAATGTGTAAGGACTTTAAAACTGTCTGGAAAGAAAGCTGATTACAAAGCGTGAACAGTGCAGTACAGTTTAATAAAATCTTTTCCATTGTGGGATAACATGTTTGCAGAAGTGCCTGAGTGTTTGAGTACGTCTGAAACACACAATGATTCAGAAACCTGAACTCAGAGCAAGACTAATGGTGTGCAATATGAACAAAGAGCCACAAAGACTCATAGGCAGCATAGCAGGAGGAAAGAAAGATAAATATGAGTGTTAAATTATAGTTCAGCAGGTTTAGCTCCAAATTTTCATGCTGAACAGTTCACTAATGGCTTTTTTACAGTCTAGGTAAGTGTTTTGAATCATCATGGTTTAAACTTATAGTTCAGACAATAAACACTTCTCTCCCTATATATTAAAACCGATAGTGTTGCATTCTGCAACAGCAGACAAGGGTTAATAAAATGTGCTTTTACACCTGAAAACATTACAGAATTGTACAAATGGACATGTCCTCCTACCATCCACAGTGAGTGTGATGCTGCCCTCTCCTGGAAAGGTATCATCTGTGATGGAGATCTCTACGTCATATGTTCCATCATCAGCGAATCTGAGGTTGTGGAGAAGCAGAGTCCCATTCCCAAATACCAGGATACGATCCCGGTACTCGGGCCTCAGCGTCCCAATGATGTCCGTTCCAATCGACTGGACAACCGTGACAGATTTTTCCCTTTTAAGTAGCCACTTGATAACTGGCAGGTCTAAGCTGAAACTATCATAGCGGACTGACAGAAGGGCCTCCCCTCCTAATTTACCTCTAATGAGAGTATTTGGGATAGTCATATTCACTGCCAACACTCCACCTGCACAGAAACAAAGAAGAAAGGTCCATGAGAAGTTTCTTTTCCATTTTAAACAAATTCTAGTATCAGTTAACTCTTACAGAGTTTTAAGATGACTGGCTTTTTGGGGCGCCAGATTTTGGGGAACAATGTTTTTCCATCAAATATTTCTAATGCACTTTACAACAACTACACTGGCATGAAAAATAGCATCATGCAGCTCTACACCAATAACTGTAGAAAACAGTCATTGCTCTACACCAACACTCTCCACCATTAATTAGAGGCGCCTACACCCAGATGATCAGAACTCAATCAGCAACTCTGAAAAAAGCTAAAACTTTTTCATCTTGAAAAATCTTTTTTCATAATAATATTTTTTTTCTACTAAGTATACTTAATAAACTGGTAACTGAATACAGAAATGTTGTGTAGGCTACTTTAAAATCATCCCACTCCACTATTTCATAGCCAATCTCAACAGTGAATACTTTAAATTCTCTAAACACTTCAAAGACTGCAAGAGTTTCTTGTTAGTTTTAGGTCATCTTCTTAAGAGAACAAATTTTGAATGATTAGGTTTATCTGGGCAGCATTATCAGCAGTTTAAGTTAGTTGAACAACAACGAATCATGTAAAACATCACAAAACTGATTATGTGACTGCGCTTGTTGCCACACCTCTGTAACTGGTCCTGTAGTTTCCTCTGTTGCAACTGCAAGCAGCGCAACCTGTAAATGGGCTCCCCCCAAATAAAGACTGGAGGTTGCATAACTGGTATGATATTCTAGTCAAAACTAGATGTGAGAATCTTTCTAATGTTTGATGCTTTTCAAATATGTCAGTGAAGGTTTTTGCTTCAACATGTAATTTTTAGACTTCTTTCTTTATGCTACTCTTTTGTCTGCTTACTTCCCTTGGCTGCCCTTCTTTAGCTTGGTGGTTGAGATACTGTTGCCTCCTAACTTTTCCCAGTGAGTTATTTATATGACCCTGAATTCATATCTACAGCAATGTAAGGTTGACCTTACAACGAAAAATACTACAAGACTGTTTTGTGATTTGGTTGTATAAGATTAAAATTCTATTTAAAGTTTAAGATTTTTTTTGTGGCTACTTTACATTTGTACCATAAAAAGAAAAAAAAAAATTGTTTTTAGTGTTTTTGTACTTAAAATGTCTTTTTAAAATAGTTGAAGTTATTTTTCTGCTGCCGTGAGTTTCCTGAATTTTACTGATTAAAATAAAGATAATGAAGCTTTAAGTTGAAAATCTTAGAAATATGGTACCAGATTCTTGCTCTGGATGGCATTACCTTGTCCCCCAGTAACACTGTGAGGAACCTTCATAATTCATTTGACCATAATATGTCCTTCAATGCACATATTAAACAAATATGTAGGACTGCTTTCTTCCATTTGAGCAACATCTCTAAAATTAGAAACATCCTGTCTCAGAGTGACGCTGAAAAACTAGTTCATGGCTAGGCTGGACTGTTGCAATTCTTTATTATCAGGATTTCCTAAAAACTCCCTGAAAAGCCTTCAGTTAATCTAAAATGCTGCAGCAAGAGCACTGACAGGGACTGGAAAGAGAGAGTATATTTCTCCTGTTTTGGCTTCCCTTCATTGGCTTCCTGTTAAATCCAGAATTGAATTCAGAATCCTGCTCCTCACATACAAGGTCTTAAATAATCAGGCCCCATCTTATCTTAATGACCTTGTAGTACCATATCACCCCATTAGAGCACTTCATTCTCACACTGCAGGCTTACTTGTTGTTCCTAGAGTATTTAAAAGTAGAATGAGAGGCAGACCCTTCAGTTTTCAGGCCCCTCTTCTATGGAAGTAGCTTCCAGTTTGGATTCGGGAGACAGACACTATCTCTACTTTCAAGATTAGGCTTAAAATTTTCCTTTTTGGTAAAGCATATAGTTAGGGCTGGATCAAGTGACCCTGAATCCTCCCTTAGTTATGCTGCAGGTGTAGGCTGCTGGGGGATTCCCATGATGCATTGAGTTTTTCCTCTTCAGTCACCTTTTTCACTCACTATGTGTTAATAGACCTCTCTGCTGATATTAATCTCTTCTCTCACCCCAACCGGTCGTAGCAGATGGCCGCCCCTCCCTAAGCCTGGTTCTGCCAGAGGTTTCTTCCTGTTAAAAGGGAGATTTTCCTTCCCACTGTCACCAAATATGATTGTTGGGTTTTTCTCTGTATGTATTATTGTAGGGTCTACCTCACACTATAAAGCGCCTTGAGGCAACTGTTGTGATTTGGCGCTATATAAATAACATTGAATTGACCCTAATTTAACTAAAAAAAATGATACTCTTGAGATAAGAAATGTTCTGAAGCAAATGCACGAACCTAGAAAAAGTAGAAAATTAACACACAAGAATAGCGAGGCTATGCATAATCTTAAAATATAAGTTTATATTATATCTATGAATCAGACTGAGTTATCTTAACTTTTTACACTCTATGCTGAAAAATGTAAATTCTGCAAACTATAAATATGTAATATTCATATAACCAGCAGTATTTAAAGAGGAAGTGCTGCAACTGGACAGTCCTGAAAGCCTAGTGACTTTTTTTTAAGACATAAAAACCCTTAATACACCTTCCAGCTTGACAAAGTTGATAATGAATGTATCGTTTACAATTGGAAAGCTTCAATGATTTAAAAGTAACTACACACCCATCCGTTTTTGAATATTATACCTATCTGAATAGAATAAGGGCCCAACTAATCTACTGCCAATGAAGAATTTGTGCACAATTAAATAATTTATATAAATATATTATAATTTATCACTATTTTAACTTTGGGAAGTGATACAGTGGTTAGATGAAGACCAAATACTTTATCATTGTGGGAAAGCGGGCACTGCACCCCGTCACTGTTGTATACTGGAAGCCTTTGCATGACAGATCTATATTACCATGGTGATGGCTTTTAGACTTTGGGATGGGCCAGCATGAACCAACAAAAGTGAGGATTGTTTGTTGAAATTTCCTTCTTGGCAGTTCATGAAAAGAGCAATGGGAGCAATCCAGACACCACGCTAGCTCTGCAGAAACAGAGCAGCTCAGTAACTCTGTTGCTAACCACAACAATGGCAGGACAGTGATGACACCCAGCCACAGCTGAAAACAGCTGAAAACACTGGCTCTAGTCTGTGAGCCCTTATTAATTAGAAGAATGGGCACAAAACACCCCCAGAACCTCATGTAATTAAATTTAAATATATATTCTCTGAAGCCGTACTTTTTGTAATACCATTGAAACGTTAAAATAGGCAAAATGTTGCAAAAATGATCAGAAACTAGTCATCATACCGTATTTCTCAATACTATATCTAATTAGATCAAAGTACGCAACCGTATCTGGAGCTGTTGTTGCCATTTCCATCCACGTCACAGCTGGCAATTATAAAAACTCCACCTGCCCCTATAATTCAGTTATTCTGAAAATGTTTCTGTTAATTAGCAAAATCTACTAGAAGCATCTGTTCATTTAATGACTTGGTGATACAATAACATGAAAATGACATTTAAAAAAAGAAGCAAATTTCAGTTTTCTAAAGATTTGCAAATTTCAGCAGTACATGTAGACAAATGTATCTGCTACACATCGTTTTATGCACAAATCCTAATAATCCAGTACATTAAGAATATATAGACTTGTACTAGGCAAGTATTTGCTCATCTGGAGAATAAGTTTGAAGCACCCATATAAAAGAAGGTAACATACCTGAATTGCAGAAACCAAAACACACAAGCAAAAAAATCTGGTAAATTATTTTGTTTTTCAATGGAGCACCCTTCTCTTCCTTCATCTTGGGTCTCAAGCTTTGTTTTCCTCCCAGACGAGCAGCATGATTTGTGCTTCTGGGTTGGACGGAGGACACAGTCATTCATTCAGGCTCTGCTGGAACTGAGTACATGTTGTTCACAAAAGCCACTGTAGAAAGAGGACAAAAGCTTGTGTGTGTGTGTGTGTGACTATAGATGGGTCTACATTTTTATTGGGAAAAACTAAATTTCATATCAACAATGCTTCACTGTGGTGAGATTTCAGTGTTCATAAATTAACAAAATACAAACATTGAGATTAGGCATCCTGGACCAAACATTTATCATTGACAAAGCACCCAATGTGTAGCCTAGACAATTTTATCCATTGTAATCTGCTTCCATCTAAACTTTTAAAGACAATGCACATATAATCTACAATCATACTAACATACACTGTTTTTAGACAGAAAGAAAAGATACCAGTGGTTTAAAAGAGAAGTAAATAAATAAACAGAGGTGCTTTCTATTTTATGAGAAAATGCTGCATTGTGTAAAAACCCTGAAACTCCTTTTCCAGTCATAGTCACATTAGTCATGTGTTACAACCTGTGTGGGGGCCAGGACATGGCCACAAGAAGGCAACCACTTCTTGACCATGTCAACCACTGAGAAAACCCATAGTTGCGTTTATTACTCAAAAATAAATAAATAAAAATTAAAAATCCTGAACAAATAAACTGGTTTTTCGGTTCAGTTCAGTGCAGCACCATCTGCTGGCTTGAGTGTTTAAGTTTTAGATAAAGGGTGACCCAGTGTCCATGTGTTTGTGTATGATTGATATTCCTTGGTTTTGTATCAGTTGGTTGTTGTGTTTATGTCACTGTTCCGTCCCTATTGGACTGTGTTTTGGGGTTAAAAGAATATTTAGTTTAGGTTCTCTGAGTGGTTTATGTTAGGTTGTTTAGTTCCTTGCTGTTAGTGATCTTTTCTTTTTTTATACCTCCCTAAGTGTCCACTCAGGTGTTGTGTTTTGTGAGTCTTGTCTCTGTTTCATTCCTCCAGTCCCAAGTGTTAAGCTTACATGTCTTGAGTTCAGCCTGTGTGTTTCCTGTCTTACTTTGATAATCCCTGACCTTTGTCAGCATGTTCTGCTTTGCTTCCTTGATCTCGTTATGTGTAATTAGTTGTTTCTGTTTCTCACTCCCTCGTTACCACCTGTGTATTTAAGCCCTTTCCCCCCCCTCTGCTTGTTGCTGGTCCACCTGTGTATAATTCTTTGAGTCATCGTGTTCTAGCTGCAGGTTTGTTTAGCTAGCTTTCCCAATTTAGGTTTTTCTAAGTTTCTGTCCTTGCCATTTCCACTTCTGTTTGAATTGTCACCATTTGAAAATAAAAGTTAACTCGCAGTAAAGCCAGTGCCAGCACTTGGATCCTTCTCTTGTAACTCCACACATCTGTTGCTGAAGCTGTGACAAAGGGTGGGTAATTGTATGATCATTAGTTTCATTGCTTTGTGTTTTCTTTCATTATCTTGTATTCTCTTTCCCCCCCTCCCCTCATTGTGCTTTAACAGTTGCAATATAGCATACTGATTACATTGGTGGGCCCAAGGAGAAATCTTTTTACTTTTGCAGTGGCTTAAACCACTTAGAGTCACAATGTCATTATCTTTGAGCAGTTTAAGTTCACCTATTCACACCTTTGTGTTCTAATCATCTGTATAATGGCCATCTACATCAATTATTCATGTGTACGTTAAGCCTCCAACTGATTGTTTAAAAACATGGAACTCAAAGCTGAGTCTTACACTCAAGAGTTTATAAAAAAAATAATAAAAAAAAGTCATTAAAATGAAGATAATACTTGAATATTAGATTGTGATAAATGGAAAATCTTTAATATATTGTTTAAGAAGCTTGGAAAGAAAAGCGTCTGGACTGTAAGTTGCTCGAAGATGTTTCACCTCTCATCCAAGACTTTTGCAGTGGCTTAAACCACTTAAAGTCACTCTTTAATATTGTAATCTATTTGGAATAAAATGATGTAATACATAGTGGAAACTAAAATCAACCATTGGAATTTAAAAATTACCAATAGATAATTAAAAACAGTTATCACTACATAGAGCCTGAAGACATTACAATAGTCAGTCAGGCAACCTAAAAAGAGATTAAAAGAAACCAACCTGAAACTTTTAAATTCAATCATCATGATCAAAAGGCATTGCATAAAAGCCTCACCCTGCTCCAATTCCCTGAAAAGGATTACGGTAAATGTGAACAGAGCCCTGTAATCACTCATGCTAATGAGCCACCTGACTAATCAGGTAGGCTGAGCAGTCGCTAGCAATGCAGACAATGGCTACAGGTCACTATAAATTCAGGGTCATCTGTAGTCTGCCTTTCTTTCAACAAACAGCACAATGGCAACACGGAACACA